CGCTGGCAACCCTACCAACACATGTTGACTGGAGAGAAAGAGAGAGAATAAATACCTTGAATATAATTCTATAGTGTATTCTCTTTGGTTGAGATAAAAATGAATTTAATAAAATATAAGTCAGATTTGCCTCATTATAAAGTGTAGACGAGATATGGATTATAAATAATATGACCAAAATATAAAATATACTCGTAATCATTATGAATGTTTTTAAAATAAATATACAATTTGAAAATAACGATAAATGCATTGATAAACTCGTTAATGAACTTAACACAAACCAAAGGCAGCACAAAAATTTTCCCCAATAAATGGCGTTATAATTAGCGATCTCGGTATAAATTGAATTTAGCGTATTCAATAAATACAGAGATGATTTTTTCATCTTGATCACATTGTTTATGGCACGGATTTTAGCGATAATATAATAGTTGATTATTATATAATAAATAGCATTATAAACTATAATGCTAGATACATAGTGTGTCCAAATGCCATAAAGTATGCCGTTTGGTAGACCAATGAATATAAATAATACAAGAGTATTATGGAATAAAAAAATTAAACTGGGATAAATGATCCCCATGATTGTAATAAATATTATACTAATTCTGGCGCCGGTTAATAATCTTTTGCAATAAATGCATAGTTTTTAACAAATTCTTTATCATTAATACCGATACTATTTGGCGCCAATCGGCCGGCGATTACACTAAACACACGTAAATAATCAGAATTTGCACCACTTTTATAGTTATAATAATTAATTATTTGCAATGCGATTATGAATATTGAATTTAAGGCCACACCTGCGTTGGTCGAAAATTTGCTGTCTGTAAAATAATCCATATCACCCAGATATAAATGATATATATCAGGTACATTTCTCGCAGTTACATACAACCAAATACATACAACGCTTTTAATTAATACTATAGACATTACGACAAAAATTATAACCGGGTTAAAATATTTTAGTCTTTTATAAGCATTTAAATCGGGATTAACTAATAATAAGCCGATTCGGTAGAGATGACTGTCGGCCGCGTCGACAACCCATTCACGGGGTATGCGTTTACGCGTTGACCGCATAATGCAATGTTTGCGTTGACAACGTTTATGCAATAAATTTTTATAATTAAATTTAAAAATTTATATATTATTAATTGAAATCCAATGTTTATAAAATAACAACAAAATATGTTTTTATGTTCTCTATTGTTATTTTATATAAACTTGTATAACTTATAACTGAAGTCTAGATATATGCTAAATATTGTATTTGATAAACATGTTATTAGTTAAAAAGTATAAGTTTATTTTACTTAATAATCAATAAGGTAACTTTTAAATAACATCACCATTAAATTGTACATTAATTTTATAGACATAGTTTGAATAAAATTATAAACAAGGTGATTAATCTAATGCGTTTACGTAATTCGCTAAGCACACTAATGTAACATTTAATAAATTTAATATTGATTGTTCAAGACTAATATTGAAAATAACATGATCACTGGCTCGATATAATTTTATGCATGTGATAAGACCATACAATTATATAACATATTAATTTTATAGACATATTTCAAATAAAATTACAAACAATATGATTAATCTAATGAGTTTATTATAATTAATTATATGTTCTGTAACAAACATGGTCTTTAAAAAACAAATAAAATGCTTACCAAATTACGTAAACAAATTAGATTAATCATATTGTTTATAATTTTATTAAAAATATGTCTATAAAATTAATGTGTAATTTAATAACAATATTGTTTGAAATTTAATGTATTAGTTATTAAAGAAATTCAGTAAACAATAATAATATATATTTTACCAAAAATTTCAATGTTAATGTGATAATAATAATGTTATGATTAAATATCAATATTCAATGATAATAAGTCAAATAAACAAACAAACAAAATAACTTTAATTTATATTGATTTCATAGAAAAACAGCATGGTTACTGTGCTTTAACACCGACAGGCCAACCACCAAAAGTGGCCACTCCGCACATATTGCCCTTATTCCTGGCCACACGGATATACCCGCTCTCACCCCATGTGGTGTCCCACGAGTTTTTAACAAGCCAATAATCATGGCCACCTTCCGAGCCATAACCCACCACGGTGACCGAATGCAATAAATCATCATAGTTAGTTTTGCACTCACTAGACGAGTAAATGCCCGACTCGTAGCTCATGAACGAGTCCGGGTCGGCGTCGATGTATATAGCGATGGGGCCAACATTGGCCACCGCTTGCTGTAGACTACTCTCACTGCCCGGCTTAATGGTGCTGTATTTGGCCATGGTCAAAACGCTCAGGGACTTTTTATACGTACACCGTTTGTCCTCGTCGTTACGGAACGGATACCGGGCCTCAGTCTCGACCCCTCCCTCCTTAATAATCGTGTCAAACGCGTGCTCAACGAACCCACCGCTCGCGCAGCCGTACTTCGGGTCGCAGTCCAGTATGTTTTGCTCCGATAACGAGGTCAGTTTGCCACTTGTTAGCGCTAATTGACCTGGGTCACACATGTATGATATTTTTTAATGATGATTTTTGTTGTTAGACAATTATTTAGCTTGTTTATAATATTTTAATTTATTTATTACCTTCTAGGGAGGCGATTGTGCTGAATACCCAACATCCGCCGCACTGTACAAGTAAGTTATAAACAATTAGTACTTTGTTTAAATTAAATAAGTTGTAAAGTTTGAATTTTAGTGAATAATAACATACATTTTTCTGGTCTTTGACTAGAGTGACCACGTGTTTTTCTCTCCAGTCAACATGTGTTGGTAGGGTTGCCAGCGATTCACTAAAATGATGTACCGATGATAATGTTTGGTTTCTCTTCGCTCGCCTTATGTTAAGCCGTTGTCTGTATTCCTCGTGAGTCCAGTCCGTGAACTGATTGACACCCAATCTATATGTATGCAAACCATTGTCGGCCTCTGTATTGTGGGACACAATCTTCCGGTAGTTTTTCTCAAATGTCTGTCTTCTCAGCGATTCTTCGCCAGAATTTACGTCAAATTTATTGGAATTACGGAATTGTTTCTAAAAGTTTTAATTAATTGCATTAATGTAAAAATAATTAGTTTAATATTTATTACAAAAATTAATAAACAATACTATTTTACACATATATTTACTTACCTTGAACGCAATCCATTGAGCATCAATGTCATTTTGTGTAAATGGTATACAGTTTACACAAACTACTAATACTGTTAATAATAATAATTTATACATATTTATTATAATTATTTAAATTTATTACACATTAAAATATTATTGTTAAATGCTTTTGTTTATATACTTTATTAATACGTGTAGGGTTGTTTTTAAAATAATCTATCAATGTAAAGTTTATCACTTTACTTTCAAATGAAATGCCAAGTATCAATTATTGTTATCAGAGTTTATGTCATTTAAATTTACCCTGTGGGGGCTAATCTGTCAATGCGGACTTTTGATAAATGTAAATGTCATAACGTGCATAGCTAAAGTAATATTTAATTATACGTTTAATAAAATAAAATTTCTAGATACTTTTTAAAAATAATACACTATAATCATATACTTTATAATTAATTATTAGAAATTTTAACTAATAAATTAATGTATATAATCATTATTTAAATTCCTAGTTAAGACTAGTCATTGACTAGTAGTCAATAATATATTCAAATAAACAATATTATCAATTACAAAAGCTATAAACTTATCAGGTTAATTTGACGTATAACAATCAAGTGATTTCTTCCCGGATTGTAAATCACAAGTTTTTATTTTGATTGTTTTGTAATTAGACATTTAGATATAGAATTAAGTTTAATTATAACGTACAGTATATGTTTGGTTAAAAGTTTATAAAATACTAGTTTATAATGAAGTTGATTTAGATTTGTATAAATACTCTCTCTCTCTCTCTCTCTCTCTCTCTCTCT